TGTGAAGGGAATTGCTTATAAATGAGGCAGTGCTCTGGAGGCCTCCTGAGGGACTGGATTCCAATACTGCATTTGTACCTTTCCAGAGCCATGTGAATCCCCTAATGAAATTTAATTTTTTGATTTGGAACTTTAGTAAGTCAGTTTCTAAAAGGCTGGGTACAGTGGCTCACACATGTAATCCCAGCACTTTGGGAGGCCGAGAAGGGAGGATCACTTGAGGCCAGGAGTTTGAGACCAGCCTGGCCAACATGGTGAAACTCTGTCTCTGCTAAAAATACAAAAAATTGGCCAGGTGTGATGACACACACCTGTAATCCCAGCTACTTGGAAGGCTGAGGCATGAAGAATTGCTTGAACTTGGGAAGCAGAGATTACAGTGAGCTGAGACCACGCAACTGCACTCCAGCGTATGTGACAGAGCAACATTCTGTCTCAAAAACTAGTAATAATAACAAAATGTTACTTTTAAAAACCAAAGTAACTGCAAAGGGCCTTTGCACTCTCACGGTACAATGTTCAGAAAAGCAGCAGGCCCAGGCCTGTGGGTCACTGAAGCTGCCCTCCAGCCCATTTCACTAACCTACCCCACAAATGCCCAACTGCACCCAGCAGGTTGCTCTGCCCACCCTGAGCTCTGCACTGATGCCAATTCTCCCCAACCAGAGGAGCCAACAGCTCGGGGTGGGGTGACAGTGCAGGGTGGGGCACACCTAGCTCTGGGTGGGGTGACAGAGCAGGGTAAGGCACACCTACCTGCTCATCGTGAAGCACACTGAGTCCTCATTGTGGGTGGCCACCATCACCTTGGCCTTTGCGTTGTGCTTCAGCTCCTCCAAAACGTAGTCCAGGCACCTGTGGAGAGTGCCATGTGAGCCCAGTTCCAGGCCTGTGGTTGCCTGTGCCTCTCATTACCAGATGCACATGGAGGATGCCAAGGCCAGGCCCAGGGCCATCCAGTGAGCCGGCTCTTTCCAAGGGTGCCCACAGCATCAGGAGAATTGGGAGCAGCATCTGCCCCTCCCAGCACCTCAGGAAAAAGAAAGACCAGCAACCAAGAACAACTGAACGATGTCTGGGGCAGATAATTCACTCAGAATTGGGGAGCAGCATCTCTGCATCTAATGTGCCATGACTCAGGACCAGGCCAGTCATGCCCATGAGCCTCATGACAACACAGCTTTGCTTCTGGGGAGGAGTCCTGCAGTGTACCGTTGGCCCTGCAAGGAAATTAAAAGGAAGCAGGTCCGTAGGCCACAGTGGGGTTGGGCATCCCAGGGCACCGGGACGCCCAAGCAGTATGGCCCTCCTGCAGAGAGGACACTCAGCAGGCCTGACCATGCATACATTTTCCCTGACCCAGCAATTCCATTTCTGGGAACCTAGGACAGCTGCATCCTCTGACACAGAACCCCTGACAGCCCATGTGTACTACAGATGGTGACAGTATGTCCAGCGAGTCCCTATGACAACAACCAGTCTGAAAACCAGTAAGATCAAAGACGCTGGACACAGCCCTGGGCACCCCATGCTGGCAGTTAAAAGTGCCGCTCTGCAAGCCCACACAAGGGGACCCAGATGGAATGCGAAATAAAAAACGCATTGGGCAGAGGACACACTGTACAACGCAAACAACAATGCTCCAGATGTGTACACTGTGGCACAACATGCCAACCAAGAGACACTTGGGATCTTTGCATTCGCAACATGCACACTGACCTCTAAGGAAAAGCCCATGGTCACTCGGCCTGTGCTACATGAAAAGATCACCAAGAGAACTAGAGAGTAAAAGGAGGTGCAGAGCAGCTGATGGGCGATCCCGCTGTGGAAACTGAAAAGCACAGGCTGAGCCTGCGGGGCAGGGGAGCCGGGCGCTCGTGCACAGCTCTGGATCTAAGTGTCTGTAGGAGCTGGCTCAGGGAACGGTGGCTGATTTTGCTTTAATAGGCTTTTTTATATTTCTAAAAGAATAACCTTAATGTTTTTGAAAAAGCAATACATAACACAAAAGCAGAGGAAATATCAGTTCTGACCTCGGGTCACATGTGGCTGCCACTCCAGCTGGGGGCTTATGGCTCCAGCAGGGTGGGACAGGGTCAGCCCCAGCAGCTTCTCCAAGCCCCTCCCTCAGTCCCGGTTTCTTGGCACCCTGCCCTTGGAAGACGGAGTTGCGGGAGAGCTGCGGACCTATGGTACATGGTGTTGGTGACCTCATATGTGGGGTTGATGGGGTCCTCATAGCCGATCTCTGCCACATGGGCTCGCTTCTGGGTCATATATGCACCCCACACCAGCTTGGCCCTAAAACGCCAGCCCTCACGGTGAACCAGCTCCATGTCCAGGGTCACACTGTCATAGGCATCCTGTGGGACCAGGGCCAAAAGTCGCAGGGAGCCTGGGCAAGCCCAAGTGACAGCAGGATGGGGCCTTCCTGGGCCCATGTGCCCCCAGGTACAGTCACCAGAGCCAGGCAGCAGCTGCCTGGGGTGGTGCAGCTCAGGGCACCTGGAGCAGATGTGGTTGAGGATGGGCCTCCAACCTCTTTCCCCAGGAGAAATGGCGGTGGGGACATCTGCAGCATCCTGTGTGGCTGGTGGACAGCCCTGTGGGGGCAGCCCAGGCACCAGTAGCCATCACATGCTCTAGATTCCCAGGCCGACCGTGGGAGGGGTGTATACTGCAGGCTCCTGCCTGGACACCTCCCCATGCCATCTTGTGTCCTCTGGGCACCCGGCTCACCCCTGAGAGCTCTGGACCTGCTAACGTCCCTAAGCAGCTCGGAGTCCTCAGGCTGGGCTGGGGGTCCTGACTTGAAGCACTCCTGGGCTCCCTGAATTCATGCAACATCCTAGGTGAGTCATTTCAGCAAGGGCCCAAAGAGGGGTGCTCAATTGAAAACAAGCTTGAGGAAATGGTCATGTGAAGCCTTCCAAGTTGGGGGTGTCGGGCACATCTAGTGGATCCTCATAAAGATTGTTGTCCTCCTCTTGCCCATTAAATACTCTTGGCTGATTCTGAGAAGAGGAGGGGCTGCAGGCAGCAGGCATCATCAGTGGCCTTTCTTCCTACTCTGAGGCAGTCACCCCGGCCTCAACCTCCTCTGCAGGCCTGGCCATGGCCACCACCCAAGGGCCTCTTTCCTGGACCCTGGGGTCCACCCTGGGTAAGCTGTGCTGCAGAAGAACCCAACAGCCCCTTGGGGGCATGGCCCACTCTCTCTTCCATCCCATGAGCTCCCTGGCAGGTGCTCAGCATGGAACCAGGCAAATACCACGGAGCTCAGATGAGAGGAGCCCCTCCTGTGGCCGGCCTCCAAGCCCCCAGGCAGGCAGAGGCTGGGTGGGAGCTGACCTTGAGGTAGCACTGGTGCGTGTTGAAGATGAGTGGCTTCTCCACGTTGAACCTGCGCTGCATCTCTAGCATCAGGCAGCTGATGGCCAGCTGGAAGTAGGTCTGCTCAGTGTCCACCAGTAGCTGCACACCTGCCTCTGTGGCTTTCTGAGAGGCACAAGGGGAGGGGGAGGGGGAGCAGCTTTTGCTCAAGTGAGGCAGGTGTCCTCCTCTGCATGAGTCCCAGGGCCCCAGGGCCCCAGCCCTCTGCCTGAGCAGGGCGGCTCACATTGGCCAGGACACCCATCCGCTGCAGCATCCTCGTCATCTGCAGCTGCTCCTCCTCAGTAAACCAGGACAGCAGGGGCTCCAGCAGTCCTGTCTGGGAGCGCAGCACACAGGCCACAGCAAGGGCTGGAAAGTGCCACCCCAAGGCCTAGGCTAAACCTCTCTCACTGTTCCTGGCCCACAGGAATCCTCTCAGCGCCTCCAAGCAGGGCCAGGAGGGAGGGCCAGTAGGACACAGCAACACAATGTCCTGGAAACCCCAACCCAGCTAGTGTACTGCCCTATGTGGTGCCTAGTGGCACCACAACGGAGCTCAGTGCCCGTGCCCATGCCCCTGGGCCCCAGGCTCAGTCCAGGCCTGCACCCCAAAGCGTGTACTCTAACAGCCTCCCCAGTTCCCACTGAGGCCCCACCATTGTGGGAGGGCCCCTGCAGCTACTATGTGACCCTGAGGAAGTGAACACTGATCACCCAATCATCAAACAGAAGGGTTCCATCCAGATCAGGGAGAGGGCCCAGGAGGAAGAACCCCTGGCTACAGGCAGACAGGACGGCTGTGCAGCACTCACTCACACATGGCCAGAGACCAGGGCACCCTCCAGGATGAGGCCTTCAAGGAGCTGGTGCTCAGAGGCCATGGGGACCCATCCCACAGGGTCCCTGCAGCACAGGGCCTACCGCTCACCCCTTTGCTGGCCCCAGCAGCCTTGTCTCACTGGGCACAAACAGTACCTCTTGATCCCTTGCTACACCATGCTAATGTCTCCAACAGCTGGTGGCCTTGGTGCAAGGTCGCACTGTACACACTGCACCCCAAGGCTCTGGGTCGGGAGCTCTAAGTTTGAGGCTGGGCCCTTAGTGAACCAGGGCTAGATGTCTGATGGAAAGCTGCCTCTGCAGAGTGTCTTCTGAAGGTGATTCTGTTCTTTCTTCCAATCCCTGCTTAGGTTGTTCTTTCAAGCAGTCTGCCAGTTCCTGGGCACTCTCCCACAGGCGGAGAAGTCTCATTCCTCTCCCCCCAGCATACAGGCTGGCCTGGTGACATGCTTCTAACAAACAGAACTTGGCAGAAAAATACCATGTGACTCCTGAGGTGATGCAGGAAAAGGTAACCCAGTTTCTGCCTGGCTCTCACATCTCAGGGGACACCAACCTTTATAACCCAGCTGCCATGTTGAGAGAAAGCCCAAGCCACAGCCAGCACCAACTTTCAGACATGTAAATGGGCACCTCCACCAGGACCCAGGCCCACCACTCTGTGAGTACTGCCACCCAGGAAACCCCAAAGGAGGACTGCCTCCCCGAGTCGTGTCAACCCCAGAACCATGAGGGAGAAGCAGAGTGACTGTTGCCATCTCAGGCCTCTGAAGTTTGGGGTGACCTGATGCATCTTGGGGAAAGCCCCCAGACACCCTCTTCTTGTGGTACCTTAAGGCTCTGCATGGGTCTCTGTCCCACCATGCCTTATGTGGACATTAGTGGGTTTGTCTTCTTCTCCCTGGACCATAGGGGCTCTGTAGGGCCATAGTGTGCAGTGACCTTGGTTATATTACATTCCCTGGGTGGGCAACAGGAGACACTTGGAGCACGCTGAGTTCCCTTCTTAGCCCAGCACTCTGCTGAGCTGGGCCTCACAGAGGAGCGGAGGTGTTACCTGTGCGTTAGGGACCATCAGGTGCTTGGAGAGCTTGGTCCTGATGTTGATGAGGCTGTTCCAGTCCTGCAGGTCCACGATGCTGTGGGAGGAGGTGCATCAGCAAAGTCGGTGACCCCACCTGTGGGTGCTAGGGTCCGGTGGAGGATCCGGGCCCAAACCAGTCCATTCACCAACCACCACAAAACCCACCTCAGTGTGCATTTTCAAAAGACAGATAAAATGTAAATATTGTTATCTGTTTAAAAATCTCAAACCAGTGGCATGCAGTGGCTCAAAATTGTAATCCCAGCACTTTGAGAGGCTATAGTGGGCAGATCCCTTGACCGCAGGAGTTTGAAACCAGCCTGGGCAACATGGTGAGACCGGGTCTCTATGAAAAATACATTCATTTAAAAAATTTAAAACAAAAACACAAACAGTCCTGTTATCTAGGTGGCTATGAAAACACTGAGTACCCTAGGGCTGTTTTGAGCTTGTGGAGAGGCTGAGCAGAGGCAGCCAGGCCAGAGGCGGACACAGTGGGCAAGGCTGGCAGTGCATGAGGGGATGGCTCACTGATGCACCACCTCATCACCTCCTCACTTCAACTGGGGGTCCTGTGACCTTGGTCCCAGTCCCTGGCCCACAGGATGGTATGTGGGGCTGTGACCCTTCACCTGCCAGCGTGAGCTCCAGGGAAGGCTGAGAGTGACACCTTGCTCTAGACCCAGATAATTCTAGAAGGAGCCCTCTCTGGGGTCTCTGCTGGTCCTATGTCTATCCTGCCCAGCCCAGCCCCAGCCTCCGGGACTCCTAAGGCCGTCAACTCCTGCTGTGTGAAAAGCAGTGCTTCAGCACTGTCATCCCCAAGGCCCACCCTCTCAGGCAGTGCAGCCAATACCGGAAGACACCACTGGGGCTCTGCTGGAACCATGGCTGATGGTCATGTCCTCTCAGCCTGGGGGCTGTTCTCAGCAAGACACTCCCAGGGTCTCTGCCATGAACCAGTCCTCAATCTCAGCCCTGGATGTGATGCCCATCTTTGTGACGCTTTCCTTGAGAAGTGAGAAGGCCTGGATCAGTCCGATCCACTCACATTTTATCCTTCCCCCAACTCACTGGCCTCTGGTGGCATTTTTGGCTTTATTTATTGTTGGCGAGAACGGGATCCATTTCTGGTTTCTTTCTACTGCATAGACAGGTCTATTCCCGCCCTGATGCTAATGCACGCCCACTCCCTGCCGGGCTGGCTCCCCAGCTCTCCTGCCAACATCTCCTCTATTTGTTCACAGTCCCTCAGACCTCCTCTTCCTCCACAGGCCAACCCCAGGAGCTTTGAAGTGAGCCCCATGCCCTGGATGAGTTTCTAAAACCACCTCAGACCAGTACCTGTCATCCCCCACTGTGGGCCCCCACAGTGCTCATGCCCTCACAAGCCCCAGGAAAGGACAAGGGAGGGGGCTGTCCCACCTACAGCACTGCCACCTCCAGCTTGGTGACCATGGCATCCAGGCCCATTTGCCCTTGCTTTGCAGCCATTTGGTGAAAGAAGCATCTCCATTTGGTCGGCCTGTCTGAGAACTGCAGCTGCAAATGCAGGCCTGAATGCCATCTGCACACACCCCGTGCCTGCCCCAATCCCCCACACAGCCCCTGTGGCCAGCTCAGGCCTCTATGGCATGGGCACCTGCATTTTTAGTGGATGCCCACAGCTGCCTGAGGACTCTCCCAGTGCCAGACTCTACAGTTGAAAGGTTACAGCCCTTACCAGAAACTGGGGTCTCCCCAGTGCCGTGAGCTTAATGGCTTAGAAGTCGTCGTCGTTGGCTGCACCTGTCAGAAGCCACAGGAAAAGCCTTGAGGGCCCTGAGAGGTACACAGAGGCAGCGCAGGGTGGGATAGGGAGGGCTGCGGCCTGGCCAGCCCGCAGCAGGCTCTTGGCCCCACCCCACCCCGCCCGTGAAGGCCTCACACATGGCGCTCTGGAGGCCCTGTGCAGATAGGAGGAGGCTCCGTGGCGGGGTTTGTGTTTGCCATGCAGGTGTGGGACAGCTCGGCAGGGGACAGGACAAGAACTGCCTGTCCCCTGCCGAGCAGCTCCATGGGGTTCCTGCCTCAGTTTCCCCCCGTGACACCAGCACCACAGGCTGCTCGCACGTGAGTCACAGGACCCAGAAACACCAAGCATAGCTAAGCAGGGCCCTCTTGCTCAGAACTCCACCCCAGAGCCGGGCTCTCCCAGGAAGCTCTGATCAAGTACAGGTTCCTGCCCCCGGGCAGCTGGCTCTGCAGTCCCACCCTGTCCTCCAGGCCAGCCCTTCTGCAGCATTCTTGCCCCTGACACTTCTTTCCAAGCAACACCAGACATACTCCTTTAAAGTGAACGCAGCTCTTACCATCTCATCATGTTTAACACCACCCCAAAGGAGCATCTGCTTCTGCAGGGCCTTCTCCTTCCATCTGCCCCGGCAGAACAGGAAATGGGCAAGGAGAAGACACCCCTCACCCTGATGGCCCAGCATTCAGCTGGCCACTCTGACCCTAGCCCCAGTCAGGAGGCGGCTTCCAGGCACTGCTCAGAAAGGCCAGGTGCAGTGGCATGCACCTGTAATCCCAGCACTTTGGGAGGCCGAAGTGGAAGGTTCGCTTGAGCCCAGGAGTTTGAGACCAGCCTGGACAACACAGCGAAACACCATCTCTACTAAAAAACATGAAAATTAGCTGGGTGTGGTAGTGTGCGCCTATAAACACAGCACTTTGGGAGGCCAAGGCAGGGTGATCACTTGAGCCCAGGAGCTCCAGGCCACCCAGGGCAACATATTGAGACCTCATCTTTTTTTTCTTTTTTGAGATGGAGTCTCGCTCTGTTGCCCAGGCTGGAGTGCAGTGGTGCTATCTCGGCTCACTGCAACCTCTGCCTCCCAGGTTCAAGCGATTCTCCTGTCTTAGCACCAGGAGTAGCTGGGATTACAGGCACATACCACCACACCCGGCTTATTTTTTGTATTTTAGTAGAGACAGGGTTTCACCATGTTGCCTGGGCTGGTCTCAGGCAGTCCACACACTTCAACCACCCAAAGTGCTGGGTTTACGGGCATGAACCACCATGCCCATCCATGAAACCTCCTTACAAAAATTTAAAAAAAAAAAAAAAATAGCCAGGTGTGGCAGCATGCACCTGTAGACCCAGCAACTCAAGACGCTGAGGTAAGAGCATGGCTTGAGCCCAGGAGGTCTAGGCTGCAGTGAGCTATGATCACACCACTGCACTCTAGCGTGGGCGACAGAGCAAAACCCAATTTCATTTGGGGAAAAAAAAAGAACACAACAAGCATGGGACCCGCTGCCCTGACGGAGGGCTGCTGGAGCCAGCATGAGGCTATGCAGGGTCAGGTGTATCTCTAACACTGAAGGACACTGGGCCTTGGTGACCTCTGGCTTCTCTAGCCCTGGAAGCAGCTGCTCCCCCCGCCTCTGGTTCCCAGAGTCGGGGTCAGGGAGGGGTTCACAGGCAGATGGTGTGGCACCAACTCCCTGAACGGAATCTCCACCCTGGGCTAAGGGTGGCTCCACAGCTGACATGGACCAAGTTCCTGCAGCTCCTGGTCCTGATCCTCAGCCAGGGAGAAGGGTGGGGAGCATGAGGCAGGGTCAGGGAACAGGGAGCTTGGGCGGGGGCAGGAGGTACCATCTTGGAGGCAGCAGGGCCCCTCA